AAATCGACATAACAATTTTTTTACGATGAGTTTTTACCTTTGTATTCCTTCGACAATTTTTACAATTCGAATTTTAAATAATAATAATAATAATAATTAATCAACGATTTTCAATTTTCCGACAATTTTCCATCAATATTTTTTCTTTTTAAATTTGACTTCCCTTTTAAAAATTTCGACAGAAAACTATTAACGAAAAAAAAATAAATAAATAAACGGAAAAAGTTTTAATTCTATCAAAGAATTCATTTAATATTATTATTATTAATAACTTTGTTATTTGTAATAGTAAAATTTTTGATTCTCCTGTTTATAAAAAAAGAAAATTTTAACGACGTGGAAGTAGAACAAAAAAAAAAATTATATGCAAAATTTAATAAAAAAAAAAAAAAAAGAAGAAGAAATTTTTAATAGAAAATAAAATTTAATTATTTAATTATTATTATTATTTGTAAACGTCAACGCGTCACACGTCGTTAACGTCAATTATTTGTTGCGTGTGTCATTAATAATAACGGAAAAATATAAAAATTAAGAAACAAAAAGAAAAATTTGATTATTTATTTTAGTAACTTACAATTTTTCTGCATCCGAGGGTAATATTTGCGGGACTTGAGTCAAACCGTGATGAGAACAATCTATTGCCAAACCCGCACAAGAACAAGCCCACGGACATTTTGACAATCTTTCAGCCGTTTGATGAGTTATTATCGGGTGACCGCTTATTTCTCCGATAATGGGGTGACCGCCGATTCCGTTCATCGCACACGCGACAAAGTTCCACGTTAATTCCAAAAACGCGACAATCATCCATGATTGTTGATTTACGATCAACATTTTGCGCGTGGTTTGTGGCTTCATTCAACCCTTTTGAATTCTACCATTTATATGAACAACATCCATAACTATTATTTCCTAAATAAAAAAAAAAAAAAAAAAAAAAAATGATTATCTTTTCTTCTTTTGACGGAGAGGGGGTAGACAACTAACAACTCGATACAAATAACTAATAATTTTTATTTATTTCAACTAAGAAACAAAATCGAATAAAAAAAAGTGACTCTTTGTCATTCTTGTATCGAACAAAAAAAAAAAAAAAAAAATCCATCAACGAACTAAAAAAAAAAAAATAGTCGATAATATTTTTTTTATATAATTTTCTTTTCGGAATATCACATAAAAACTATCAAGTTCTAACTAAAAAAAAAAAAATTTTTTCTTCTTCTTTTTAATTGGCTTCTAAACCGACGAAATGGAATTTAACATATAAAAAAAAAAAAAATGGCCGTTTCGAAGAAGAAAAAAAAATTAATAAAATTCATTTCGATGCCGACGGTTTGCAAGTGAAATCATTATTAAAAAAAAAAAAAAAAGGCACAAAAATATTTAGTGACATTTCAAACGAAAAAAAAAAAAAAAAATGAAATAGCAGAAGAAAAAAAAAAAAACTAGTTTAGAGAGAGAGAGAGATATGTATATATAAAAAATTGAACCTGTTCCTTTCCTTTCCTTTTTTTTCTTCTCTCTATCTTTTTCTATCTTTATTATTATTATTATTATTATTATTATTATTATTATTGCATACAATAATTATATATAAACTTGTTATTTATTTTTACAGCCCCTCAAATTTTAAAAATTTTATTTGAAAAATAAAAAAAAAAAATTTGTTTCCCTCTCTCTTAAACCTTTTTTCTTTCCATTTGATTTATTTCATGTTGTAAAAAAAAATATAAACAATTTCAAAAAAAAAAAATTTCTAATAATAATAATAATAATAATAGTTCGAACGAAGCAAATAATAAATTATTATTATTATCTATCATAAATTTAATAATACGATTCATTAAATAATTAAAATTAATTAATAAAAATTAAAACTAAAGAAACGAATTTATTTTTAGATTTTGTTTCTTATTATTATTAATTATCACCTTAAATTTATTTATTTATTTATTAATAAAACTCGACGTTATTAAAAAATAGAAACGAATAATAATAATAATAATAATAATAATATTATTTCCTTCTAGAAAAAAAAAAAAAATTATTTATTTTTATGGAAAAGAAAATTTCTTATCGTCGATAATTTTTTTTTTTTTTTTTTTTTGGCATTTTCCCGGAAAATAATTTATGATCGGTTTTTTTTTAGAATTTTTCATACGACGTTTTTTTTTTTTTGAAGGGGGAAGGGGGAAGGGGAGGGGAAAATAAACGAAAATCAATTTTGCCGAAAAAAATAAAAAAAAAAAATTCAAGATTAACTACTTTCACTTTCGTTTGTTTGTGTTTGTGTGTGTATTCATTATATCTCATTTGATTCGAATGAAATTTTTTGTAAATAAATAAAAACCGATGAAATACACACACACACACACACACGGAAAATAAATAAATAAAATTTTCGTATTAGAATAAAAGAAATAATTTTTTTTAAACGGCTAGCAAATAATTTTTTAAGATAAATTAAATCAATGAATTTAAAATTATAATACGACGACGACGACGACGACGACGATTCGACCTGGCTTTGAATTACTACATGTAGGAGTTTTTTAATTCAATCTGACTGCGCTTTCTCTCCTCACTGCATGTTTTGACGTTTCCAATTGATTTTTTTTTTTTTTTTTTGATTCGGAGAGAGAAAAATTTTTTTTTTTCACAACGATAATATTATGTGAGAATATAACGAAATATAATTAACGATTATATTAATTTTATTTCGTTGAGAGAGAAAGAGAGAAAGAGAGAGAGAGAAAAAATGGCAATTTGTACCTAAAAAAACGTTGCATTTTTTTTCTAATTCCTCTTGTTTTTTCTTCTCTATACGTTTTGAAATGAAATAAAAACGTCACAACACAATATCATATTTAAACACAAATACACACAACGAATAATAATAATAACCGAGATAAAGTTTTTTTTTTAAATTAATAATATTTAATGAAAAAAAAAAAAAAAAAGAGAAAAATGTTGTAAACAACAGGTCCTAAAAGGAGCGTCAAAAATAACGGTAACTTAAACGCGCTCTCAACTTACGTTCTTCTTCTCAACCTCGGCGACAACTGCCGAACAACCCGAGGTTTGCATCGAGCTAACTTTGGAAGCATAGAGAGTTGGGGAAGATGCCGAAACCGGAAACGGAAACGTTTTTTTCTTTTCTTTTTGGGGGGAAAATTTTAATAACGTTTTTTCTTTTTAATAAATATTTGCTTTTAAATCTTTTTTTTTAGTTTGAAAAAGAGATAAATTTTATTTAATTATGTGTAAATTTAAATTGAATTATCAAATAAAAAAAAAAAAACAGTAAAATATGACTCATGGCAACAATAGATTTTTATGAATTGAAAAACAAAAAATTGAATTAAAGAATTAATTTTGTTTTATTATAAAATTGTAAAAAAAAAAAAAAAAATTATTTACATAAATATATGTACATATTTTTAATAAATTACAATTATTACATAATTAGTTTCTTGAAAAGCAAGTTTTTTTTTTAATTTAAATAATTATGAATAAGTTTGGTTGTATTATGTATATATAGGAAATCTCAGTATTTGATTTTAATAACCAAATTTAATCACACAAAATAGTAATTTGAAATCATCAATAGTTAATTTCATTAATTTAATATATTATTAATTAAATTTTTAAAAGAAAACTTAAAGTATGATAACAATTGTACTGGATCGCCATTGTATTATTGTATTGCCATCATGGCTTTTCTTTCAAATATTTTTGTGTTTGTTTCTCAACTTACTACTGGGATGAGTTTTTTTTATTACCAATGGTTTAAAATTAATTGTCACAAATACTCGTATCTGATTTTTCAAGTTTCATTATTGAATCATTTGATTCTTTAAATGACCCTGTGGTTTCCATAACTTCATCATCATCTTCTTCATCTTCTGCTTCCATTTCGAATAATTTTACTTTTCTTTTATTATCTGATAATATAACGCAAACTTTTCTGCTTCCACTAACGGCAAAACGAGATGCCACAATCCCTTCTATATTACGAGCATAATTATTTATTAAATGTTGAATGTTGATGGAAGTAAATTTTTCATAATCCAAATCTTTAATTACTTTAACGGGCAATTGGATAAAATCCGTTGAATGCATTGTAAATTTTTGAACCGTTAAAACGGACAAAACATCTTCCAGATAAAATTGTATATCGATGACTCTGTTGCAATATTTGAATTCGTCAAAACACAAATGAGCAAATTTCGGTGGCTGTTTTTCAGAATGAATGAATACCTCAATGAAATAAAAACCGTTTGATGAATCCTTTGAATCTAAAATGGCCACCGAAAACTTTTCTTCTTCAACTGAATACGTGCTGGTAACTTTAACGAAGGGATCATGGACTTGCATAAAATCACGTAAATAAAGCAGTTTGAAATGCTGTCCTATGAACCCCTCTGAATATTTAAAAATACAATTGATTTGATTTTCTAAATTGTTTATTTCTTGGACTATTGACATGTTTTTGTGATGAGGAATTATTAACTGATTTTGATTGATGAGAGGATGTTTCTCTTCTAAAAATTTTGTCCATAGTTCGTTATCATCGTCTGGTAAAATTTCAAGATTTTTATCTAATAAATATTGTCCGAGACGTTCCAAATTAAATTTAGGCTTGTATATAGATGTGTTGGAGTCTTGCCCTTCGAAATTATATAAAAATTCTGCAATCCCAAGTAAATCCTGTTGGGATATCTTACTCATATCTGATGATACTCTATCGTCACTCAGTCTTAGAATAATGGTGTACAACCAACGGAAAAAAGCTTTGTATATTTTTAATGAATTATCTATAACTTGTTGAACTTCAGTTGCTTTTATCAAGAAGGAACCAGTAGAAATAAATGCTTCATTTACAAAAGACTCATTCAGACCTAAAATTTGAAAATAATGGGGACATCTGGATAAGCCCCACAACTCGTCAAGATGGTAAGCTAAATTTTGCCCGACAGAATGCAAATGTTTTAATACCAATTTTTGAATATTTAAATAACTTAATTCGATTGAATTGCCAAGTTTTTTTAACCCTCTTTCTGTCAAATCTTGAAGTAAGAAAACACCCATTTCCGGTGATGGAGTTCCAAACATCAGAAGCTCTAAAAAATCTGCACTCACTCTTCCAGGTGGTACTTTGGAGGCATAAGCTGTCAATTTGGAATCCATTTCGATTAGTATATTTTCCCAACTTTCAATAATGTTTTGTAGCGTTTGTTTTAAATAATCAACGGAACTAATTAAATGTCCATATTTCAATGCTAACGTGTACAATTCGTGACTATAACTTGAAAGAATATCAGAATTAAGTAGTAAAACAGATGTAGTATATTTCTCTGCTTCTTTGGCTTTTATAGAAACAACTACAAAAATAACTTTATAATCCTTTGAAACATTGCAGTTTAAAATTATACACTCCGAGTTATTATAATAACTTTTGATGTCGATCACAGCGGAAGGAAACAAGCCGAAAACACTAATGCAAAGTTTACCATTGCTTAAACCGACAAGTAATATACTTAATGTTTGTTGATCTTTAATCTTTTTCGCATCATCTACATGATCATCTGAATTTGTGCTGTTGGAAGTAAAATTTCCAGTCAATGATGGTAATTTAGGAAGAAAAATCCTACTGTCATCTTTATTCATAAATTCTCTTAAAGGACTGCTAATTTTTTGACTTAACAAATTGGCTTTATTAAAAAGTAATTCTTCTTTTTCATCACTCCAGCTAAGACATGTAATTTCTGCATCAAACATTGACTTGTTAAGCACTTCTTTATTTTCCACATCAACCAAGTATATCTCATCTACAACAATACAAAAATAATTCCTTATAAAATGAACTTCATCAAACAAATATTAGACGAAGTACTTTTTTTCTTAAAACAAAGAAAAGAGAGATTAAATTTTAAAGTGAAGCAGTAAATAATAATATGTTTAAATTAATGTTAAAAAACCTACTTGTACTGTAACCGATTGCTATGACTTTTGCGTCTGGTCTCCAAGCAATACCTTTAACAGTAACACCATCACTTGGAGGTGGTAAAACCCATACTTTTAACCAATTCAGTCTATGAAGTGCTACTTCACCTAAAAATCACAAACTTATGCTTTAAATAAAATAATTTTGGGAAGAATTCTCCAATAAATTAAAAACAACATAAGGTTTCAGAAAATTTATTAATGAACCATAAAAACATTAACCATTTGCATATGACAGGGCTAATAAATCTAATTTTGTCGACCACACCATAAGTTCTACTTTGATGGCTGCATGTCTTTCTTCAAGTTGTCTCATAGCATTCCCTGACGACATTTTAAACACTCTTATATGAAAAATGACAAAATATTTGAATAAACCGAAAAAGTTATGAGTAAATTATTCAGAAGAATTCCAAAACTTATCAACCCATTATTTAAAATAATTATTCTACGAAGCAAATATAACGTACGTAATACAAAAATCACTAAATATAAACAATTTTTATCATTTATTTCGATTTCAAATTATTTACTATTACGATTCGTAAAATACAGTACGTCCAGTAAAAAAATTGTCGCCAGTTTGACAGAATTCGTTAATTTTAAATTAAATTACGTCAAAGGATAAATTCAAATTTTTTATTTTTTTAGAGAAATTTTTTTTTTTTTTTAAATACAAAATTTAAAATTTTAAAAAATTAATATTAGTTTTTTATTATTTGTTAAGATTTAACGGACGATTACATTTCATTTGACAAATTATATTCACAAAAATTAAGAAGATGCAGGAGGAAAATAATAACATTAAAACAAAATTTATTTACATCACATTTATTATACATTTACATTTATTTTAAGTAAAAATATACATTATTATTATGAATATATCGGAGTTTCTTAAAATTAAAAACTATTATTAAATGCCTATCATTAAATTATGATAAATTTCTAATAAATATGCAATGAAGTTGAGGAACGTGAAAATATTTTAAATTTCAGACATAATACAATCTCACTCTCGATGTGCACACTAACAATTCATCATCGAAAAATTTGGTTTCAATAACGACATTTCCACTAAAAAAAAAAAAGTAAAATATGTAATTAATAAAAATTTAACAGTTAATAATTTTATTATCAAAATAATATCAAAGTACTTTAAAACATTAGCAGGCATCATTTGTGATTCAGGAGCTGCTTCGATAAGACTTTGCCATGTATTCGTCGAATTAGGTATAACAAAACCAAATTCGAAAAACCATTCTTCTAAACACCTATTCTGTAAAATATGAAATAATATAACAATAAATAAAAATTATTAATAAATAAGAGGTTAAATTTATATTATTTAAAACTTATTCATGTGTAATTTAATTTATATTTTGTAAATATTAGCATGTTTAATGTTGAATAACATTTTTTTAAAAATAAAATTACAAATTAATGATCGATAAAATTTTTCGATTGTTCACACAATTGCATGATTTACAAATTCATTAAATGCTATTTTAAAATAACTATTTTTAAAAAAGTTTTTAATTTAAAAATACATTTATTAAAACCTTTCATCCATGATTGAAATTTATAATGTATGCAATACCTTAAACAATATTTTTTGCTCTAAACGAAATTTTTTCATTTGCTCTACAGATGAAAAATTTATTTCTCTTGAAACTGCACGACATTTCAAAATCTTTTTCGGAACCCTAGCTTCATGTTCCACATCAGGTATAGACCTTAAAAGTATAAAAAATTAATAATTCCTCTATAAACTTTATTTTACAAAATCTAATTATGATAAAAAGAATGATTTTGCTCTAAACTTACAAATCTTCATTTCCTTGCCATAATATCTTTCCTGTATCTACATCTCGTAAATTCATCCAATTACTATAGTAAATTATTATGAAATAATATTATAGTACTTTTTTTTAAAAGTTCAATACAAATTAATACTTTAAATTTTTATAATAAATCAAAGTTATTTTTAATAATAATAATAAAAAATTTTAAGAAAATACAATTAAATCAATATTATAAGTATTATTTAAATACCTACAAGTAAATCTCAAAAAAAAAAAATCTGAATTTTTAAAAAACAATTAAAGTCTCTATAGTATTGTAAATAATTCAATTATAAAAATTAAAAGTAATTAATCATAAGTAATTACTTGTTATAACAATTAACACTAATCTTTATCTGTTAAAAAATTAACAAGTGATAAAAATAATGTAAATATCAATACTGGAAATTAAAAGGATACACTTGAAAACCGGACAAAATATCTTCTGATCTTGTAACAGATGTATCTTCCATTTCTTTTATTAAATCGCTTTTACGAGTAGTTCAGAACTGAATTCAGTTCTGAAATTTGTTAGGACTGACACTTTTAGTCAATAATTGCTTGTATTGAAAGTAACATTGCTATCAATGATTGATTGCGACAATTTTATTAGTCATTTTTAAACTTCTATCGACAGCTACTTCCACGATTAAAATTTAAAATTTGTTATTAAAATGCTACAACCTTTAATGTACATATAAAACTTAATTATGTGACGATTAATTATTATTATTATTATTTTCTTTAATGTTTTCGTCAAATGGTGCCAAGAATTTTTTTGCAATACAATCTGGTTTGATAAGTCCTCAAAAATTTAATTGTAAAAATGTAACAGAAAGATGTCACTCATTAAAACTTAGCACTAGGCAAGATGTAGAAGGGTCTTTTACTTCAGGGATTAACTCACTAGATATAGAAAAATTAGAAAATAGATAGTAAGTAGGTAAAAAATTTAATTTTTTTAAAATATTTTCTTTAATAATAAACATATTCCTATTAAAATTCTAATGCTAATTCATTTCATTATGATTATAAGTTTAGAAATGTCCTTTCAAAGAAATAAATTCACACAAGACTTATTTAAACATGAAACTTGTTTTGATAACCTCAATATTATTTTCTATTCATTTAAATTAAAAAATATTTTTCAATGTTTCATTATTTTTTTGAATTATAATAATATTATTAGGTATTATGAGTTTTTTCAAACACTAAAAACTACTGATTGAATTGTAAATATCATATGTAATTCATATAAATTTATACATAGACTACTGTTATTTACACTAAACTTTTTTTTTAGTTTACTTTCTGGTTGTTCTGATGGCAGTATATATATTCACGATGTTTATAATTTAACAGGGCAAATTCAGTATACGGCAAAATGCATTTGTAAAGTTATCAAGCAAAATAATTACAGTCATAAGCATAGTGTTGAATGTGTTTCCTGGTATGGAGATGATAATGCTTTATTCATAACAAGCGGAAGTGACAAAACATTAAAAATATGGGATACTCAAAATTTAAAATCAATCGAAAGTTATTGTCTAAAAGGAAAAATTTTCCAACATGATTGTTCATCTTTCCCTTCTTCAAACCCTATTATAGCCGGTAATTATCTGTTCATTTATCTTATATTCCATTTCAATGTCTAAAAAAAAAAAAACTACAAAATATGTATGGATTTGTTTTAGTCGCTAGTTCTGTTAATATTGTGGAATTAATAGATTTGAGAACTGGGAGTTCGACACATGAATTGAGGGGACATAAAAATTCAGTTTTAACATGTAATTGGTCTCCTGTTGAACAGTATTTACTAGCTACAGGTGGAATGGATAAATCTATTCTTATGTGGGATGTAAGATCGAGTAAATCTTTTCTAGCTGCATTAGAAGACAAAAATGATTACAACAAACATGCTACAGCACATTCTGGTTATGTAAATGGACTGAAATTTACAGGGGATGGTCTTTTTTTAATATCTTTTGCTACTGATGAGAATATAAAATTTTGGGAAATATTAAATGGATCTCTTTTAAAAAAAGATTATCCAAAGATGAAAAATAATGTGAAGAGAAATATTCAATTTGCAATTAGTAATAATTGTAAACATCCCATTCTTTATTTACCCTGCGAAGGGGATATTTTTGTCATCGATTTATTTTCAGGAACTGAAATAAAAACCCTCAATGGTCATTTTCATTCTGTTAATTGTTGTTACTATCGAGAATCATTTCAAGAACTTTACAGTGGAGGAAACGATAGAAATGTTTTACTGTGGACAGCTGACGAATATGAAAACGAAACCATGAACTCAAATGAACAAAATAAAATTTTACATACTAAATCTAAAACTGCAGACGACTGGAGTGACGATGAAAATTAAATATATATTATATTTTTATATATAAAAATATTTATTTTAATGTTTTTTTTGTAAATATGAATTCAAACTTGTCGATTTGAAAAATTTCTAAAGTTAAACTCTTTTTGAAATTATTTACGAACAGAAAACTTGCTTAAAGTCAATAATCTAAAAATCATTGGTAAATTATTTATTACTTTGACATCAATTATATTTCTACCAAATTTTTTTTTAATAAATTAAGTTTTTTTTTTATAAATGATTCTTTTTTTGGGCAAAAACCTTTAACTTAATCATCATTCGACAATTTAAAAAGTTTTCATTGAAAATGATGTTGTCGAAGAAAAGTTGAAAGAGAAGAAGAATAGACAGGTAAGAGACAAAAAAAAAAAAAAAAAGAAATCATGTCATGTGTTGTCTGTCGGTTTGAAAATTTTTACATAATTTCATTTAATTTTGTCATAAATTATTTGAAAAAAAATTACAAAAAAAATTGAATCCTGAGTCAGTCAGTTATTATTATATTTATTTTGAAATATCTAATTTGAATAAACTTTTTGATTAAAAAAAAAAAGTCATTAATTATTTCAATTTTATTAAATAATTGTAAATTTTGTAACGGCTGGTTTCGACATGTAAAAAAAAAACGAGCTGTACGACGATTTTTATTTTTAAATATAAATTTATGATAATTTGAATGTTTCGATTCAAATTCTTATTTTACATAAAAAAAAAAACTTGATGTAAAATTCAAACGACAGAAAAAAAAATCTATTAAAATTCAATTGGCAAACGAGATTTAAAAAATGGTGGGGAAAACAAGTTTATGAAGAGTATTTTTTGAAAACATAAACCAACCATTTATAATAAGTTTAGTTTTGTAATATTATACTCGTTTTAAAAATTAGCTTATTCAGCAAGATTAATAAATAACAACAGTTATGAAAAATAATGTATTGAAATCGTTATTTACGAATATTTTTTCAAACAGGTAATTTATTTTTTAATATAAAGGTTAACACGAATTTAAATCATTATTATTATTATAATTTTTTTTTTTTTTTCTGTCGACAGAAAATTAATAAACGAAAATTTAAATAAAAAAATTGTCGTACTTACCGGATGTGATACTGGATTAGGATATTCTCTATCGATAAAATGTAAAGAATTAGGTTTAAATGTTGTTTCTTGTTGTTTAAATAATGAAAGCGAAGGTGCAAAACGTTTGGCTAACGACGACTGCCATGTTATACGTCTCGATCTCATCGATACGAATACGATTAACGAATTGAAAAATAAAATTTTACATTTATTAAATGATAATAACGATAATGGTAATTGTTTTTTATTTATACGAAAAACGTTCGAAAATAAATATTTTAATATTTCAAAAAAATTTTTTTATAGAATTACATGCAGTCGTTAATAATGCCGGCGTTATGATTTTTGGAGAATATGAATGGCTAACGGAAAAGCAAATAATTCAACAGGTTGAAGTTAATTTGCTCGGTACCTTTCGGATAGCAAAAATTTTTTTACCGTTATTAAGAAAAAATAAAGGTAAGAATTGTCTAATGTCACGTCTCGTATTGAAAACAAATCAGAAAAATGTCGCTTTTTTAAAGGACGATTAATAAACGTAACGAGTCATTGTGCCATAACAAATTTACCAAATTTATCAGTTTACGGTGCAACAAAAGCCGGAATACAAAGTTGGTCACACGGTTTACGAATCGAACAAAAAAAATATGGAGTACACATAATTAATTTCATTCCAGGTACGTTACAACCCCCTTCCCCCCCCCCCCGAAACCGAAAAGAGTAGATAAAACTTTATATTTTTCAGGTTCTTTTCCACTTCAAAGTAACATAATGTCACGTCAAAAATTATATTTTAAAGAAATGCAAGAATCATTTTCTCATTGTGATAAAAAATTTCATCAATCTTATTTTAATTCATTCACTTCTTATTTGAATAATGTATTCGTTGAAAAAAAACCGTTAAAACCGTTAGAAGATGATGTTCTCTACGGTAAATTTTTTCATGCTTTATTAAATAAAAATCCAAAATTTATATACAAACATGAACCCTGGAGATATTTTTTTTATTATAATTCTTTTCGTTTAACTCCCCTGCCAATAAGAGATTATTTAATTGAAAAATTTTTAAAATTCCCTAAATTCAAATCAAATTAATTGTATTATTAATAAATAAATAAATAAATAAATTTTTCATCCATTTTTGAATAATTTTTATTCCTTTTTATATATAATTTCCCCCCCCCCCCCATTTAATTAAAAAAAGTCACTAACCTGAAATAATTCAAGGCTAAAAAAACCACAAATTTGCAAGTAAAATTTTTTTCCTTTTTTATTCATTTTCTCACCTTTTCACAAAAATAGAATAATTTAAAATAATAATAATGACATTTGCTTTTAATAAAGTTCATATACTTTTATCCAAATAATTTATTTATATATATATATATTAAAAATTTCATTTTTAAATATTAAATACATACATATAAATCTTACAAATATTTATTAAAAAGTACAAAAATTTTAAAGCACTTTAAAATACGCTTTTATAAAAAAAAAAACAAATAGTATACAGGTTCTCAGGTATGTTGTTTTGACAGAGAACTTTCATATTTCTTTGTATATTTTATACCCCATAGGGGTCATTTACAAATAAATAGGCCCCCCAAAATTTAAAAACAACAAATTACGGCCTCACACCACAAACACAAACGCAAACGCAAAAACAAACAAACGTTTTACCTATTTATATGTGTATATGTTATCAAAATTATATTGATAAGACTTACTTGATAATAATAATAATAATAATAATAATAATAATAATAATAATAATAATATTGCACTTGTATTCATCTCTTGGTAACATAATTTACAATTATGTTATTTTTTTTTTTTTTAGTTCATATGCAGTTGACCAAATGTAATTCATTACCTTTTATTTTTTTTGTTTGTTTTGTTTGTGCTATGAAGAATTTTGTTTTTCAATCTGAAATTTAACAAAAAGAGATAGATTATAAAAAAAAATATAAAAAATTTAAAATTAACTTTGGTACGAGAGGGGGGAGGGGAAAAAAACAAAAAAAAAATTTAAATTCCTACCATCATTTCCTCATTTTCCTTTGCCCACTGATGAGTAAGCATAAAAAAAGAATTTTTTTTTCAATAGATTACATTAATTTATTAAAAATATAAAACCTGATAACGATTAAAAAACCAACAAAATTTAATTTGCGGTTGAAGGGGGAAAAAAAAAAAAAAAAAAAAAAATTAATGTAAAATAGTAATACTTACTCTATAAGCAACGGCAGCAACCAAAGCGGCTCCCCTCCCACTACCATCTTCCGAGAGCATAAAATCAAACTGAAATAAACAAACATAATTTTTTTAAAATTAAGTTAATGTTAAATAAATTGCGTTAAAAATTTGTAAATTAAACAAACCACCGAAAAAAAAAAAAAGATTTTTTACCTTGGCCGGATTTACGAGAAGTTCCGATGTTTTCGCCATCATTAAATTATGAAAGTGTGGATGGTATCGATAAACGGATCCGTCAACGGCAACCGTTATGTTATTTTGCCCTATTTTATCAATGAGAGTCGCGATTCCGGCCGAAACTATGTGGGCAGCCCTCCTAGATACGCACTGGCAAATATAACGAACATTGGCACAATCTTCATCCGTGACACTTCCTATACCGACAGTCTTCAATACGTTTTGACATTTATCGAAAACTCCTTTTTTCTCACTATATAAATAAAAACAAACAAACAAACAAACAAACAAATTTTAAACGTAAATTCGCAAACAAAAAATTCTCGGAAAATCTAATAACGGAATTCTATTTAAAAAAAAAAAAAAAAAAAAAAAAAAATAAAATCTTTTGCCAAAAATAAAATCATTGCCAAGAAAAAAAAAAAAAAACTTTTAAACATTTTTGATAACATTACATATTTATTATTATTATTATTATTTACCTTTCTATTTCCGAAACGTATTTAGTTAAAAAATGCCATTTTTTTTCAATAATTTCAGAACTGTTGCCATTGAATAACAATCCCAATTCTATGAAATGTACGATTATTAAACGAACGAGTTCTCCTATGTACATACCGGATATCATTTTTTCGAATCTGCAAACGATTAAACCGGGATTAAAAATCAATAAATCAATAAATAAATCAATAAATGTAAAATTAACGAGTGAAGAAAAAAACTTACACTTGTTTACCGGGATTAATTGAATTTTTATCCAAATCTATATCGTATGAAGTACGAATGAAATCCAGGCATCCATCATCACCGAACGCACCCCATTCCGTATTGACCACCACATACGGTTTCTTATTACATCCGTTAAACGTTTCCACTTCATCGGTTTTTTCCACGTAACAAGCATTACTTCCGGTACCTGGAAAAATTCCCCCAAAAATACAAGACGGAGAACAATTTAGTAATTATACTATGACACTGTGGAAATACTCACTTACCTACAATCAAACCGATTCTGCAATTTTGATTTTTCCAAGCGCAAGACATCAACGTACCCGTGGTATCATTCAAGATAGCACAAACATCAATTTGAACGTCCTTTTACCAAACAAAACAAGAAATACAAAATTAATGAAAATAAACGACAGGAATCGAATATCAATTTTAAAAAGAATAAAATTACATGTCTTCTCTGGAGAGCTTCCCTGAGTAATCTGACAACATCCTCACCGATGACACCCGAACAATTGAATCCTTTCGTCCATCTTTCTAATAACCCGGTCGTGAGAGCTTTTTGACGTAGGGGAAAACTAAAGGTGAAACCCAGTGGTAACCTTTCCGTGTTGACATTGTTTTCTTTCGTGAATGTGGCTAAACACTCGGCAATGTGATCGAAAAGCTAAAGAACGGAAAAAACCAAAAATCGTGATGAAAATTCATTAACCCCCCCCCAAAAAAAAACAAAGTTAAAAAATAATTAATTCTCTCCGTACCTGTGTACCGGTACCCAACATGATAGCTTCGGGAACTGGATATATTTTCGATTTCATATCGAAATGATTTTCTTCCAAGTAAATAATTAAAACTCTAAAATTTGTTCCTCCCAAATCCAACGCCAAAAATTTTCCTTTTTCTAAAAAAAAAAAAAACAATGATATATCAATATTTCATACAATGAAACCTTTGTGAAAAAAAAATTTTTTTTTTTTTTGTATTTCACGCAGTCACCATTTTGATTTATTTAATTTTTGTTTTTTTGTGTGTGGTTGCCTTTTTCAGGGGAGAACAATGAATACAGTATAAAACAGCGTGGGAAGGTTAAACTAAGGTATAACTTTTAGTATAACATCACATTAAGGTATTGAAATTGTAAAGAACGCAGCATTTCTTTTTTAAAAAAAAAAAGGTCTACAATAAATCAACATTTTGATTCTGACGATTTTTTTTTTTTTTTTTTTTTTTTTTTTTACAAATTCTCAAGTTTAAAAATTTCTTTTTGAAAATAATTTCCGACAAAAAATCCGACTTACCTTTTCCATTTGGAAGATCTTGAACGTAGGTAGGAAAACATTTAATGATGGCTTCGGGGTGAGTTTCTTTTTTCAAACCCTTTTTCAATGAATCCAATAATAATTTTTTAACTCTGAACAACTGATCGTTATTTAATATCAATGAATGACATTTTTTTTTCACCTACAACAACCAAAAAAATATTAATAATAAATAAGAAAATAAATAACAAATCCAATTAATCGTGTATCGTGTTTTGTCCGGTTGGAATTTTTTCCTCGATTCGAATTCCATTTACAAAAAAAATAAAAATTTTAATAATAATAATAATATTTTCTATTCGACTACTCAATTCTCGATTAATTCAAATTAACCAAAAAAAATTGATCAAAGATTCATAATTAATTAATTAATTGATTAATTAGCGGTTTGTGTTTCAAGGCGAATGAACAAACAATAAAATATCGTAGCTTTTTGGTTTTATTATTATTATTATTATTAATTTATTGATCGACTAAAAAAAATAAGTAAATAAATAAATAAATAAGCAACAAATGTAAAATATTAAAGTTAAATAAATCGTTCGAGATGATGTTGAGACAGTCGAGAGAGAAGAAAAAAAATTTTTTTTTTTTTTTTAATTATTTATTTTAAAACTTTCTAAAAATAATCATTTTATGCAAGATTGCACATTGGGGAGAGAGAGAGAGAGGAGGAGAGGGGGGGGAGAGAGAGATGGACTTTTAAATTTTTAAAAAATTTTTCCCTTGTACTGAAAACTTAATAATTTGTACACAGCATTCTGCTCAACGACGGTTAAATTAAAAAATTAGGGGTTGTTTTTTTTTTAACGTATTAGTAAAATAAATAATAATAATAATAATAATAATAATAATAATAATAATAATAATAATAAATAATAATAAATCCATTGCCACTATTTATTTTTTTCCTTATTAATTTTTTTTCTTTCGTTAACAGGTAAAACCCGTGCAATGAAAAAAAAAAAAAAAAACTTGCGGAATTTTTACCATTTAAATGACGTAACAAAAAAAAAAAACATTATTATTATTATTATTATTATTATTAACTAATTGACATTAAATTTTTTTTTTTTTTTTATAGAGAGAAAGTATAAAGAACGAATGATGCAATTTTCATCGTGCATAAAAAATCACTCAACTATGTGTGTATATAGAATTTTTTAAACCTTCGAAAAAAAAAAAAAAAAAAATTCAACAAAGAAAATTATTTTTAATATGTTTAAATATATATCCATTACCTTGAGGAATTTTTATAAAAAAAAAAAAAAAAAAAAAAAAAAATAGTCAATGAAAGGCCCCCGAGGGGCCTCTCGAGTTTTGGCCTCACCCTTTGAAATCCTCTACCTTCTTACTCAGATTCACGCATGGATTTCGAGGCCAAGAACGAACCATCAAGCTCCCATCATTCACACAAACCATATAGTAACTAGTTTCCCCCCCCCCCTCTCTCTCACTCCTTATACCCGAGGAAAATTATAAAGTTTTCTTTTTCCGCAAACGAATTAATTACATGTGATTTAAACGTGACCCCCCCCCGCACTCTCCCCAAATAATTTTTTCTACAATCTAAGTAAAGGCGGAAAAAATAAATGAATACATTTTGATATGTGCACATATGATTCGAAGGACTTTAACATTATTATTATTATTATTATTATTATTATTTTTCTTAAATTAAAAAAAAAAAAGACCTTAGAGTTTTATTAATTACACGCGCTATTTTATCATTATTATTATTATGATTTTGAGAACATGTTAACTATGTTACTTTAATTATTATGAGAACAATAATATAATACCTTGATGACAGGTTTTGTTATGTATTCTTAATTATAAATAAATTAGAGTAAGCGAGAAGAATTATTATTAATCATCAAAACTGACGTTGGAAAAAAATAAATTTTATTGATCGTTGTCGATAATTATCATCCATCATAAAAATAATGGTTGGGAAAAAAAATAAAAAACTGGGTAAGATCATTTGTAAACTATCCAATACACGCCATGCAGCACTTAAGGTTAATTTTTTTTTTTTATTAAAAATACCGTTATTTTACAATAAGATGGCTGAAGGAAGCCCATATATTCAAGAGGTCATCTCAAGGTAGTCCACACATCTAATTATTTAACTGCTAAAAAAATATTATGAGAGTTTTAGGAGAGTGGTTAGTCTTGAACAAAAACGGTTTAGATTTTTCTTATGGGTAAAATAAAGTTTACATCATGAATAATTTTTCAAAATGTGTTTTAAATAAAACAAAAAAAAAAAAACTAAATTGAATGTAAAATAAATTTACAACGAGAAATCAATTAAAATAATGATGGTAAAACGACAACAAACAATTTCAATTTATTCTCAATTTCTGACATAGTTATTATTAATTGAAATTGATTTTTAAATTCATTTTCAAAATGAGACTAACATAAAAAAAGTCAATGTGACCTATTCGAGTCATTAATAGAATGAATGGTACATATTAAATATTATTAAGCAATGAAAGCAAAGAATAAGGCTAGATTGCATCTGGCAGTGCGAAGAGTAAGGGTAAAAAAATTTTTTTTAAATTTGACCTGATTAAAAAAAAAAACAACAGACATGCCAATAAAACAATTTTCTAAGAAAAAAAAAAAAAAAAAGTGACCCTTTCAAAACCATTGCCTGAAACTTAATTTTGCAATAATAATAATAATTTTTTTTCATTATATGTAAAATAACCTTGCTATAGTGACCAAAGAATTTTTTCCTTTTTTTTTTTTTTTTTACTTTCCCAAGAATTGATTTTCTTATTCGAATAATTATACAAATGGTATTGTACATTCATGAAATATGAAAAAACCCCCACAAAAATTCTGGAATGTAACCACAAATCAAAAATCATGGGGGTCATTATTATTATTCGAACTGTAATATAATAAAATTTTCAATACCCTAAATGAACATTAATAAAAGCGATAAGGAAAAATTGCAAATTTTAAATTACTCTATAATTTAATGTGAAATTTCTAAAATTAAATCAAATTTTTATTGCTCCATGCAACAAATGCTTATATGTATATATAATTTTAAACACCAAGAAATTTTTTAATAGCGCTATAAAGTTCACAATTTCTGAGCTTTGCACTTATCAAATGCAAGGTTGCAAAATATTTGCATGCTATGACCTAACTTGATAATTTATATCAACACAGGTTTAGGATCATATTCAATTGTAAAAACCTATTTTATTGAAAAATAATACATTTCAATAAAAATGTTACAAAATAACTTTTAACAATGATTAAATAGAATCTTATTTAATAACCTAAAGCTCATTAAAAAAAAAAAAATAAATTTCCATACATTTTCAATTAAAGCAAATATTAATTTTAAAAAAAAAATACTTGATAAAACCTGTCTTGATATAATCGGAACCTGCTTCAAAAACTTTAAAAATTTATTAATTTTATTTTTATTTTCTTTCAAATTAATAATAAATGTCACTCGAAACAAATTATTACGAAAAACAAAATTTGATTAAATATTTTTTAAAAGGTTTTTTTCATTTTCACTAAATCGGTTAATATTCAAAAATATATATTTTAAAATGATTAAATACATACCTCGGTTGAAACCGTTAATTCTTCAACAATTCCCATTTTGACGATAGATAAATAAATAAATAAATAAATAACCAATGTTATATTTAAATTAAAATTAAATATAAAATAATTAACAATTAAATTAAAAAGATTAAGTTAAAGTCAAGTCCAAAAATTTCTCGTTACACTCAAACTGTTGACTTGACAAGTTTATATTGACCAATGCTAAATTTCACCATCAGGACCATGCTTCATATATATTCAGACAACATCATTCAAACATTTACACACAAGTTGAGCCTACCCAAAACGAAATATGATTGGTCGAACGCGAAGGTGTGTCTAAAAACTGACCTTGATTATTACGTCATATAATAAAAGTATTACCAACCGAATTAATTTTATTTTAACTATAGAAAATCTTTTCTTTTTTTTTTTTCAAAATAAATAAATATATATAAAGCTTTGTAATAATAAAACATATACTTTAATAATTTTTAGTTTTTTATTTGTATAATATAAAGTATTTTTATTGTACGCCAAAAAAATTTTAAGTTGATTGACAATTCAACATTTTGGCGGGAAATTTATAAAATGGAGGGAAAACCTTTTGTAAACATACCTTTTAACAGTATTAAGGATTTATATTAAAAAAATTTAACGTATATTTAATATTTTTCAATTAAAAAAGGCAAGTTATTTATAATTAAGAAACAATAATTTTTGGTACGTTAATTTTATATTAAAATTAATTATTAATGAATTATCATAGTGATTATTTATATTTTTTCTCTTATTAGAATTTTTAAAATGTTAATTTCAATATATATGCAGTGTCACCTTTTTGTTAATTAAACAAACTTAATTTAAAATATGTTAGGCGTCATATCTCGACAAGAGAAAACGTAGTAAAACCTGGGCGATTACCAAAATTTTCAAAAGCCAAATTTATTAAATTTTTTAAATTAACAATGCCATATTGTTGTTTGCCCAAAATAAAAATATAACCTGGCCAAAGTTATTAATTAATGAATTAAGGAAATACAAAACCGAAAGGAAAAATTTTATAATTCTTTTATTAAAAATAAACTATTTTTTTAAACAAACTTTACTTTGGGTTTAAATATTCAAGTAATTAGTTTTATTTGTTTCATTAAATTACTTTTTATGAAAGAAAAAATACTTTTTGTTTTACGTATGAGAATTAAGAATAAACCCTAATTATATAACTAAAGCGAATTTAATGTTAATTACGGATTTTAAAAAGATAAACAAATAAAATAGATAAGTTAACACTTAAATTTTATTAAATTTAGCAAATATTATAGATAAGGACTTTTTTTTTTTTTTAAGTACGAATGAAATGAAATTTACCAAATAACATAAAATAAATTAAAAGTTGACATTGTAAATTTTCATTTTTATGGGTTTTATTAAAATTTATTGATTAGATATTATGTTATCTTTCACAAAATAAAATTAATCAGTTTGTCAGTTAAAAAATTTATGAAACAAATACTAAAAGATTAAATATTTTATCCCAATCTACATAGTTTTAATAATGATAATAAAAATTTTGCAGGTATTAAAGCAAAGTGAATTAATTTTTTAGCTTAAAGTTTAGGTTCAGGTTTAGTTAGGGATTTTGATTAAAGCTGAAATCGAAATCACTGTCTTCATTTCCAGATATAATTTCTCCATGTTCAATTTGAAATGATTCAGAATCTGATTCTAAAAGATGAGCTAAATTACTTTTTGTCGATATGCTTAAATCTTTTATTTTTTCTATTGAATTATTATTATCTGCATTCGATATTTCATTACTGTTATTTTCTGATTTTTTTGTTTTTACTCCTTCATACCCTTTATTACTATCTGTTTTACTTGAATCTGAATCATAACTGTCATTTTTAGAAATATCATTTATTATTGAATGGCGTAAGTCGGTGAAAGTATTTGAGGTTTCATCATTATTTTTCCAAGTTTTCAATAAATTTTCATTGTTTTCTTGTCGAGCTGAAGAATTATTAACCACATGAGATTCTGTTGGTAAAACTTTTTTAGTTTCATCATAATTTCTTTCTTCCATTACACTATTTCGGTTAGATTTGTTTAAATTGTGTACCGAAGGTTCTGGTTCGAATTGATCCATTTCTTCCTCGAATTCATCTTCTTCCAGAATAACATTGGAAGTAATATTTGTAGGATAATTTTGAGTGTGTGTTGGTTGCTCGTAATAACTATCCGGATAAGTTTCATTATTAAAATCTACACCATCCATTCCTTTTGGATAAATTTTTTCACCAATAGATTCAATATTTTCATCAGAATTTTTTCTCTCCGAATCAAAAATATCAGATTCTTCAAAATCTTTATTAAATTCTAAAAATTCTTTTTCTTTTTCTTTCATTTCATTTTTTTCTTTGTGTTTTATTAAATTTTCAATTGGAGAGATATCCTCATGCGAATGATCAGGAACTTTTAAAACTTTATTGATGTTTTTTATTGTATTTT